AAAAAAAAAAAAAAAAAAAGAAAAAGAAAAGACAGTAGGAGGGGAAAAACAGTGAACATTAAACATTCTTGTACAGTGCTCAGACTTGACTACATTGCACTTTAGCTCACGTCAAAATTCTTCCATTACAGTACAAAATGCATGTGGGTAATCAAATTGAAATTGTGTCTTATCTTGTCTAAATCGCAAACAAATGTCTTTGTGACGGCAATAATTGTCAGATGGCTTAGACCAGCCTTATTAGATTAGACTGGTCGGCCAATATCAGCCGTTACTGCTACTTCGTTGAAGGATCATTACATTTTTGAAATAAAACATCTTTTAGACTTTATTCTGTTAGTGTTGGAGTCTAAATTACCCGTTTTGAAACATTGACAGATTATCTTTTAATTAAAAGTAAAGGGATATGACTGGATTCTATTTCGAAAAAGAAAAAGAAAAAAAAATAGTAAAACTGAAGTACATTTTTTTCACTTTCTTACGCTATAAAAGTAAACCAAAATACTATAGTAAAGCTTTACCTCTTCCATTCTATACGATCCAACCACATACAAGTAGTTTCCAGGCCGCCCGACCAGCCTGTTGAACATAACATCATAACATAGTATAAGAACTTGTACTTAAGCAAGAAAATGAAGATATATGTTGAAATGATTGAATAAAGCAGTAGTAAATTATGCTGTTGGTATTGTCCTACCTGCCCCTGAAAAAGGCCAAATAAACGATAGGTGTAAAGGCATTGACAAATTTCAGAATGAAGGTTTTGAAGATAAGGCGCTCCTCAAAGCTTTTGTCTGTCTTTGGAACCTCTGGAAAACAGCGTATGACCACGATATTAATGGATGTCTAATATGTTAGACACAAGTAAAAATATATACAGAATTATACAGCAAACCCTAATAACAGACACTGCTTAAGAAATTGTTTTTATTATTATTACAAACGTATAGAATTATTTTATATGAACTCTCACATCGAACTAGACAAACATCCAGCTGTAATGAAACAACCTCCAACTAAAAATGTATTCTGAGAAATACTTCCCTTAATATTTCACAACTATTTAATTTATAGATGAATTATATCGGAGGCCAAGAGGTAGATGGTACTCTCGTTTCATCGCCAATTTTCTGACTCAAGACAAGGAACTATTATGTATGATATTTAACAGTGTACAAACCAGATTCTGACTCAAGACAAGGAACTATTATGAAACAACATGTTCTATTTTTTTTTTATACAGTGTCTCATTTTTAACCGATTTGTAAAAAGTGAAAATAAATATTTACCCCTCAAGGTTCGCATTGCTTGCTCAAATTTTATTGTCCAATTTTCCAATATTAAAAAGGATTTCTGTGAATTTAGCTTCTCCACATTAGATGAGAGGAGCCTTACCCAGTCGTGTGAGCCATCGTGCAATGGCACCATAGATTTCATCTAAAATGATTATAACGATGAGGTTGATGATAGCAGCTGTTGTTTTTACAACAGCTCGAACGTTGTACCGGGCTGCAGGGTAGTCGCTCAGGTGCAGTGCTGTCTTTATGCTGATACGGTACAAGATGACTCCGAAGACAATGGCAAAAGTTACTGCAATCTAAAGGACAATGGCACAAGTGATAATCAAAATACTGCATTAGGGCAAAGAAAGAGCAGTGGATTAGGATATTTAGAGATGTTTATAAATAAATGTGTTAATAAATGTGCAGTCAGCAGGCATCTGAATAAAATACATATCAGACCAAGCATAGAAAAGAACTCGTGATGTCACCAAAAGGTTTGAAGACTACCGTATTATGTGTAATTTCGCGCGATACAAAATAAAGTGAGTGACCTTCAGTGGTGGGCCATCAGGGGCTTGAAGACATGGGACACGTTCACATGATAAGCTATTCAGGGAGGTGACTTTGGGATAATCTCGTTGCTGATTGGATGTTGTGTTGTAATGCTGCCTGAAAAGTTAAAGTTTTTCCACCTTCATTTGCGCTACGTCAGATGCTCGATCTGGGTCAGATGCTCAATCTGACGCAGTGCAATCACCATGCGCGCGGTGTCGGAGGCTCCAATTATTGGATATTAGATCCCCTGTTGTTGCGCCATTCGCATTGAATGTATGACATGGATTGCTTTTGGTATAAAGCCCCCCCTAACACCTTTTCTAGTCACTCATTTTGTCTTGTTTTTCTTCCATGGGTAAGCATTATAATGGTGCCATGGTCAAAAGAAATGGCACGTCCTACTGACACAGCATAACTCATGTGATCTGCTGGTCAGAAGTCACACATTGTAATGACTTTTCCCTCCACTAAATTCTTCACATAAACGCAAATCACCGCATGTGCCGCATGAGACACAAATGGACTGGCTTGATTTTAAAAATAGTTTAACCAACAACCATACTCTGATTTGTATGAATAAAGTGGATTTAAAGAACCAGTATAATGACCAAAAGAAAATACACTGGTTTTGCGGAAGGGAAAACCAAAATTAAGCCAAATAACAACATATGTAGAGAATTCGCTTTCATAAGTGTATAAAATATGGTATTCAAACTCAAACTCACCAGGAAAGCCATTGTGACCACTGTGGTTAGGTAGGCTGGTAGTCTGTCAGTGCACGTTAGCTTTATCTTCTCACCCTAAACAACAAATTCAAGAGCAGACACATTAGATACATATATGCACAAACACACACATGCACACACATATAAGAGCTCCCAGAGACGTAAAGGCAGTACATTATTATATGTGATATATATATATATATATATATATACACACATATACTGTATATACACATATATATACACACACACTATATAGGTGACTTTAGAGAAGTCAGTGCAATAAGAGTGCAATATACACTCAGCAAAGGTTTGCATTGCAGTCGATCATAAAATGCTAATCTCAGTTTGACCACCATAGTTTTTGAAATCATTTTGTGTGCCACCCCATTAGAAATCATACTGTGCATGGGAGGCTAATGGGACAGTAACAACATAGTACCTGACTATATAAAATAGTTTGGTCTACTTGAAGAAGCCAATTCTGTTATTCTGTTCTACTAGTACAGTCAGCATTAGCTTCACCTAACACAGCTACAACATGTTTCTTTGCCTGGTCTAAAGAAATTATTTTTTCTTAGAGTCTTAGAAAATTGCCACCATACATTTTTACTGACCTTGGTTTTCAAGATAAAACTATATTTTATCCCCAGTGACACAGCATTCACAATAATTGTTTCCATTTGGTTCATCTAATCAAAAGTGCTGAAAAAGTCAGATCTTTGAGCCAGTTGATTCCAGTACAATGCTACCCAGACTTGCTAGCTTTTAGAATTTAAGTGAACAATGAGAGATTCCATCTTCAATGGTGTTTAAAGATTGAATGTTTTACCTCAAGTTCCCTTCACTAAATTCAGATCAAGTTTGATTTTTATTTTGACATTGGAAGACATTTCATTTCTTCTGTTATAGAGCTCTTTCTTAAGTAATTCATTCCAAGCAACAGAGCTAGAAAGGGTTCGATAAACTTGTTGCAGAACTATCATTTCAAAAAGGCTTGTATTAATGTTTGGTTAAAACTTAGTTTTGAATGAATGTGTTTTCATGGTTATCAGTGCCTTATATAGATGTAAGATAATACCCCTATCTTTATTTGAGTTGTCTCATGGGGCAATGGTGGCTTAGCGCTTAAGGAAGTGGACTTGGGTCCGGAAGGCTTCAGGCACCGTCCCCACACACTGCTCCCTGGGTGCTTAAAGCTGCCCACTGTTCACTTTGGTGATGGCTTAAAAGCAAAGGTCACATTTTGTTATGTGCAGTAGTGGGCTGTAGTAGTTCACTTTCTTTTCCTAAATATGCCCTTTTAAACATATCTAACAGCTGTTTACTTGAGTCTTATAAATGTTCTATCTTGTCACTGACTAAATGTCTCAGCTGCAAGTAACATTAAAAATCATGCGCTTCTAATGAAAATTTCTTTTTGATCCTTTTTAAAAGTTTTCTATTTTTTTTATATAGTCTTGTAGGTTACTGTCAGCTGTCAATGCTTATATGGGAAGCCCCTCTTCAATGTTTTACCATTGGGCATCGTGTAAAGGGTTACACCAGCTTATAATGGGTCTTCATTTTTCCTCATCAGATGGTTATCAATTTTTATAAATTCATATGATGTGAATTCCGTTGCATTCTTTGTAAGTGGGCAAACCTGAGAAATCAGCAAGTGGTCAAATACTTATTCCCCCCACTGTAGATGTACTTTATTGATCCCAGGCTGGGAAATTGCAGAATGATCGACAATCTAATTTATCCTTATTTTATTTTGGAATAGCAGAGATTATTGGTTGCATCCAGCTGGGTGATGTTTGTGCCTTCTTTAAAACCCAATTAAATGTAGGAAGCATCGCTGGTATTAACCCTTCCTTCAACTCCTTGTACCATTCTGCTGTGTTACCATCTGATCCTGGTGATTTGTTTGAGTTTTCTTAATGCTATTTTTAGTTCTTTTTCTGTTAAATTCCTAATGATTATTTTATTCAGTTCAATACTGGTAATTCCCAAAAAAAACAAAACAATCCCCAATTTTACTTTTTTTTTACTGGATCTTTAATTTTATGAATTGTATTCTGTGCTGTTTTCTTTTTAAGTTTCAATGCCAGAACTTTCATAGATTTAAATCTCCCCCACATATTAGAAGGCCCACTGTCTTTGATATGATTACATCGACAACTTTCTCAGAGATCAAGTGGATCACTTTCTGGTGGCACATATACATTTATTAACATAATGGGGGTCCCTCAATATTTCTTCTTACTAATATGAATCGTCCCCCCTTATCCAAAATGCGAAAGACAACAGGAGGGTTAAAAGAAACAGCCTTGTACTATGCCCAAACTCATTATGCACTCTGTCTGTGTCTGCAGTTGAGATATTTACGATATTTATACTGATAGAAAAGCTATTTCTGAATATGACCATGTCCATTTTAGCACTTTAAATTTCTGCACATTATAAATCAACATTGTCTCTATTTAAATTGATGTAATTTTTATTTCAATATATAGTACTATATTCAATATAGTTAGAAAATTGATAAAAAAAAAATTACAAGAAAATAAAGAGAAATATAACACCTAAATTAAAGTTAAACATAAAGGTAAAGGTGTGATTAATAGAAATACAATAATTCTTAATTATGTGAGAGAAAAACATGTTATTATTAAAATCAGAAATAAATATTATCTTCGTTAAAAAATGTGGCTAGTTACTGTTGGTATTCTTCAAATCTATAAATGGCCTTGCCCCGTGCCTTATTGCTGACGCACCTGCTCGAGCCCTCAGATCCGCTGCAGCCCACCTGCTGAATATTCCTGATCCTCCAATCAAGATGAAAATCAGGGAAGCAGCTTGCCCACTACGCACCCAAACGATGGAACGCCCTACCACAACACATCAGAGAGGCCCCATCCATTGATACCTTCAAACAACGACTGAAAACCCAGCTCTTCACCCTCGCCTACTCGTAACAGCATGAATCCATCAGTTGGCATACGCAAGCGGCCAGCAGATGACTATTTGCCCCATCACCCCATGGACTCTCTGTTGAAAGCCCTTTACCAGCCCCGGCAGAGGGCTCCCCTGGGGGCTGATGGATCTGATCTGAGTTTTTCCTCACCCCCGTTGCTCCCAGGGGACATTGACTTAACCACTTGGCATATGTAAAAAAAAATATCAGCCAATCCTGTTTTTTTTTTTTTTTGTCAAACTGTACTTTGAGCTACATGATTGTATGAAATGTGCTATACAAACAAAGCTATCATTATTATTATTATTATTATTATTATTAAAATGACATGGCAGTACCTTTGAGATTGAACTCTCTTGTCTCATTGTCTTCTCCATGACAAGTAACTCATATTCAGCTCGGTTGTTGTCTATCATTATTAAAACAAACAAACAAACAATCAAACAAATTAAAAAAAAGTTTAATATTGATAGTAATTAGTGGAAACAGAAACACAAAGGAATATGTATCTCCTGCTGTTAAGATATAGAAATATTCAGTATGAAAATGCAAAACTGAATGATAAATTCAGTTGCAGCCTACCCCAGGTTTATTATGGTGAATGCGAGACACACCCTTTTTAGTTTAGATAAGAAGGGAAGCATTTAAAAGCACAAAGCAAGTTGTTTGCCTAAAACCTTGGAATGAACACGACTACGAGCAAGACCACAGTACTTGAGGCAACCACAGCAGTAGCGGGACACTCACTTTAGGTGTGCCCCTGTGGCTGGGCAAAAATAAAATAATATCACTCCAAGGATTGAGAATCCCCGATAGTGTTCCAACTATCGGGGGACCACACTCCTCAGCCTCCCGGGAAAAGTCTATTCCAGAGTACTGGAGAGGAGAATCCGGCCGATTGTCGAACCTCGGATTCAAAAGGAACAATGTGGTTTTCGTCCTGGTTGTGGAACACTGGACCAGCTCTATACCCTTCAGAGGGTGCTTGAGGGTTCATGGGAGTTTGCCCAACCGGTCCACATGTGTTTTGTGGACTTGGAAAAGGCTTTCGACCGTAACCCTCGTGGTATTCTGTGGGGGGTGCTCCAAGAGTATGGGGTTGGGGGCCCTCTTTTAAGGGCTGTCCAGTCCCTGTACGATCGGAGTAGGAGCTTGGTTCGCATTGCCGGCAGTAAGTCGGACCTGTTCCCGGTGCATGTGGGACTACGGCAGGGCTGCCCTTTGTCACCGGTTCTGTTCATTATTTTCATGGACAGAATTTCTAGGCGCAGCCAGGTGTCGGGTGGGGTCCA